AACTCCTGCTCGTAGCCCTTATGGCAAACGAACATAAAGGCGCTAACAATAGACAAGGACAAAAAAGGAACGAAGAGGGGGGAACAGGAGGAGCGCACGTCCTGTTCTCCTGCCTCGCAACACATATGGCAAACGCGGCCCAAAAACCACGTGACTTCAATCGATTGGTTGGAAACATACTAAGCGCAAGAGCAGACGCTTCACTTACAGTGAATTTGCTTTCTGCGCACGCCCAGTGCCGAAACCTGGTTTAGGCAAACGAGCTCTTGTTTATCAACAGCGTCCTGATCTATGTTCAGACGCATAAATGGTGGAGCTGGCGGTAAAGCGAGTTGTGAAACCTGTCGCTTGCCCAAAGAGGGGAGGAAATTTACTGGGCTTGTAATATAATTCAGAATTCTGTTCGAATAGAAGAAAACTCGGGCTTTGCCACCGTGGGAAGCGCTTGTTTCCTTACACACTAGAAGTCAGCAGGTATGGCCCGCTGCCAAAAACATTGGGAAGCATCAAGCATCAAAGGTATCTTGATGATCCAGATAAAATCTAGAGAAACTGGAGGTTCAGCGTGCAAATTATGAGACTTTTCGGGGCTCGCGAATAACCCGGGATTCCGCTGAATTAAGCGCAGTGCACAGCGACGATTCAGCTTCCCATTAAGCTTAGCAGGAAGCCTATATTGGTGTATAATTCACACCCATTTCAGCTTCATTAAAAACATAGCAAGAAAACGCTGCTCGTTAATTTTTAGCGAGGCATATGCCCTCTAAATTTAGCGAGTTGCTCTTTTGCGTTAAACTTTCTTGGGGCCTTTTTTGTAATGAAATCTAGCCCTCAACAGTTTCCGTTTAGGATTCCTTGTCTGAATTTCCAATGAGGCGAAATATCCAATACTGGACATTCAGGCACGTAGGATGTTCAGGCAGGTTGGACATTCCGTCTCGGTTGAATTTTTTGTCTCGTTAGACATTCAGGCTCGTTGGACATTCCGTCTCGATTGAACCTTCCGTCTCGTCGGACATTCAGACTCCTTGGACATTCCGCCACGACTGAACCTTCCGTCTCGTTGGATATTCAAGCTCGTCGAGCCTTCTGTACAATTGGACCTTCTGTCTCGTTGGACATTCAAACTTTTTGGACATTCCGTCACGATTGGGCCTTTCCTCTCCTTGGATATTAAGGCTCGTTGGACATTCCGTCTCGGTTGTACCTTCCGACTCCTTGGAAATTCAGGAACCTTGGACATTCCGTCTCGATTGGATCTTTCGTCTGGTTGGACATTCAAGCTACTTGGACATCCCGTCTCTATTGGACATTCCGTCTCTATTGGACCTTCCGTCTCATTGGACATTCAGGCTCGTTGAATATGCCGCCACAATCGGATCTTTCGTCTCGTTTGACATTCAGGTTCTTTGGACATACGGTCACGATTGAACCTTCCCTCTCGTTTGACACTCACCAGGATTGGACCTTCCATCTCTTTGGATATTCAGGCTGGTTGGGCAATCCGTCACGTTTGGTCCTTCCATCTCGTTGGACATTTCGACTCATTTGACATACACTTCCGCTTAGACCTACGTGTCGTGGTATATTAAGACTCATTGGACATTTTGTCTCCCATGACGCATCGAATAAACACGCAGAAAAGAGGTCGTGGGGTCAACCAGGAAGACAGTCCGGTGTGTCGCTTTTCGGTAAGCGAAATGAGTGCAAGGAATACAAACGATTGGTCTTTGAAAGGATTCTCGTCATTTATGCGTCACGTGGTCACATTTCAAAGTAGAAAGATCAAATATAAAAATGTTGGCATTTCTGAGAAAGGAACAGTAGGCACATGTCGGAGCTTCCGGCTTCTCGCGGAACGTTATTCATTTCCCCCTTTATGTGCTGAAATAAGATGTACATATGTGTGTGCTTCTTCTATTAGCTTTATGGTATTTTATTAAAACGTATACCTTTTGAACGCCGAAGGCTTCTTCCTTCGAGAAGCAAAGCTTGGAAGAACTACTTCGCGCAGCGCATAAGTAATATGCACCACTTTTTTTTGTTTTCTTTTATATGACAACGACTATTAGCCCAGAGAAGCTCGCGTGGCGCCCCCTTACGGCGAACCGGGGTAACGTCACGGCGAGGAGAGAATTTTTCCCCGACTCGCCTCGCTCGCCCTGTGGAGGCTGTGACGACGCTAGCTGACGGCGCGCTTGTTTCTATTTGGCATGTTTTTCGTGGGAAGTGTAAAGTTTTATATGTGTCTTTATTGAGGTATGGCCTGTAGCTACAGGCGAAACCTCAACCAACATTTTAAGCACGGTTGACAGGGCAGACAACGCATAAATCACAGCTGGTATATAAAAATGAAGAAATATGGCCACAATTGCAGGAGCACCACTATAGATTTACATCTCGCACAATAAATGCTGCTGATGGTCTGAATGAATTGGCAGGTTATGTATACTATATTTTCTTGTATCTCTTTTTTTAAGTAAGATCGCCGAAGCAGAAAAGCTGCATGCTAAATACAGTCTGGGCCATGGGGAGAGAATCACAAGTAGGACAGCCCAAGTGCAGGGGCAAAGTAAAAAAGCAATGAACATTTATTATATACATTGCTCGCATTTGATTTTTGCTGGATTCCGATAGTATTTCAATGAACTACACGTGTGGTATCTGTGGACTTGTTTATATCGACCCTCAAGTAATGTATAACAAACGTAAGCGAAGGTGTCCAGCTCGTTATTAGTCCCTTAAGCCCTAAAATTGAGATTTTACTTAAATCGAATTGTCCTCAAGCTAAAATATCAGAAGCTTTTCTCACGCAGACTGTCGCCCTTCACAGGTTCCACATTTTCTGCACTAGTGCTGGACAGACGTTCGAATGCTTTCTTTTACTTCTGTTTTCCTCTGTTGTCAGAGAGTCCAGCTGTAGGAAGTTTGAAAGCTGAGGAAGCTTTTGGGGACCTGCAGCAGTGTCTCTTTTAATTGTAAATGAAAATGTTTCGAGACTAAACGGTGTATTTTCCGAATACCCAAGGCTGGAATAAAGAATGTCAGGAAAAAGTATAAACATTCCAAATTGCGGCACTATAGCTGTGCATATTTTGGGCAGTTCAATACATATCATACAGGCAACTGGGGGCAATTCAGCCGTTTTTGCTGCTACCATACAAACTAATTTCCAGTAGTTGTGCATCTTCTAATAAATATGCTTGCATACATGTATAAACTATATAATTAATTCACGAAGAAGCTACATTTATGTAAAACAACCCTGTTCAGCGAGCACTTCAAAGATCATCAGACGCAGGGCCTTTAAAACATATGCGAACCAGCGCATACAGAGTGGCAGCGCAGAGTCGGGGTCGCGAGCTAATTTGCAGACCACCCAAAGGCCCATGATATCAATGCCACTTCAAATGCATTGAAAGGGGGATGTAATATCGTCCCAACTTATGAACATGTAAGGAACAGAATTCCAGCGTCTGAAACACTTGCGCCACCGCTTCACCGACCACTCGCAAGATTGTCTTGTGTCATGGACGGACGGGGAGGTTCATCGGCGGAATTGCCTCCGCCGATAGCTTTCGGAATTTGTAACCCAATTTAAAAGGTAAAAGGGACAAGCAGGCTTCTAAAATGTACAAAAGTACGTCAGTATTGGCCTAACTCAACGTCTTGTACATCGGGTAAACGAAGTCCAGCTCCTCGAAGAGCTTGCGGCACACAACGCCAAACCAGGAAACCGGTGCTGGGAAGCGAGCCGATGCGAGATCGCGGAGTGGAGTCCTCCGCCTGACGTCACGGTGCACCTCACCCAATCAGGGCGCGGCGACTGCAGCGACGCTTGTGTTCGCTCTCGGGGCTAATAGGAAACGAGATGATCAAAGTCGATCAATTCAAATGAGTCAGTGTCCTCGCAACTCCTGATATGACGGGGATTCACCCCATGAACGCAGTCTCCTCGGAGGCAAAAAAGCCCTTAGTTGCATCCGGTGTTGCCTAACTGCCATTCTTCAAAATAAAAAAATGGCGTACGAAACGTTTATTTGTTCAAAATTAGAATGTGTTGCTGCTAATCTTGAATCCCAATCGAAATTAGTAAATTACTCAGCTTGAACCATTCTACTACTAGAAGTTCATTCATGCATATTCCCGTGTGGTTGTCTCGTCGCCTTAAAAACTCCCGCAATATTTAGCGCATATCCGTCTCGACTAACGCATTTAACCAATCAATGCTGCCAATCCACGATAGTGGACCGGAACAGCCTCCCTGAGTCGATCATTTCAAATACTGAATCAACGAATTTTAAATCCCTAATGTTGCCGTGTTTGTTTTGCTATGTATAGTTAAGACATCCAATCTGCTCCTTTATTTCTAACCTTTCATTTTATCAGAAAAGCGTGTTCTATTTGAGTTGCTTGTTTTATTGAATTGTTTTTTTTTGTATTGCCCCTCGCGTAATGCCCTCAGAAGAAAGCCCCGAGTCAAAGAAATTAATTAAGTAAGTAAGTAAGTAAAAGTACAATATTCAGTTTAATGTTATTTTAAGATAGTTTTTGCGTTTTTATGTTTCTTTATGTTTCATTTAGATACGAGGACGAGATGCGGACCCTAGTGGCTGGTGCCAGGAACGTCTTGTCCAAGCTGCTGACTCGCTCTTGGCTGGACGCCGCTGAGTCTCAGGCCGCATCCCAAAACCTGGACACTTTGCGCACCGTGTTTTTGAGGGAGTCCGAGAAAAACTCTGGTTCTCTGCAGACCTACTACGAGAAGGCCATCAGTTGGAGAAAACGCGCGGTACGCTTTTCGCCTTTTGTGTTTTACTTCCTATTTCGGTGCCTGAAACGCGTCTCGAACTGAAGCGTCCAACACTTACCAACCATCCACCGAATCTGGTCCCAAAGTGGAAACAAATGCCGTCACAAAAGCCGCCGTGTCGTGTTTTTCGATGTCACAATCCTGGCCATCGGGTCTGGAAGTTCTCTAGGAGGAGGAGGAGGAATAAACTTTTAATAAATAGAGCTTCAGGCGCTGATGGTTGGGCGCCCGCCCGGTGGGGGGCCTCCTCTAGTCCGGGAAGCCCTGGTCCGCGCTGACTTTCCGGGCTCTCTCCACCAGGCTACGCTGGGCTGAGAGGTCGGAACTGGTCAGCTGGCCCACCCACTGCTCGTAGGTTGCGTGAGGGTTGGGGGCGAGGGATGGGGTTTGCTGACACTCCCAGACCATGTGGTACAGGGTGCCAGGCTGGGAGCAAAATTTGCAGGTAGCAGAATATAGGGTGGGGTACATGGCGTGCAGTAGAGTGCCGTGGGAATACGAGTTAGTTTGTAGCCGACGAAAAGCGGTCGCTTCGGCTCTGGATAGGCGGGGGTGCGGTGGCGCGAACTGTCGTCGTTCGTGGCGGTAATGAGCGAGAATGTCCGCGTATTTCTTAAGAGGAGTAGGTTTGAAAGTGCATGGGGTTTGCGTGTCGTCGCCTTCTTGAGAAGCTGCCCGGTGTATATGAGCGCGGGCAGCGGCGTGTGCCGCTTCGTTTCCCTCGAAGGACTCGTGTCCGGGGGTCCAGACGATATGGAGTTCTGGGAGTTGACGTACGTTTTGTAGAACTTTGAGGGCCGTTGGTGATATGCGGCCAAGTAGGAAGTTGCGACAAGCGGCTTGAGAGTCGGTCAGTACAGTGATATATTCGTTGCCAGTGGTGGCCGCCAAAGCAATGGCGAGCTCTTCTGCTGTCTCGATAGACGTAGTGAGAATTGTAGCTGCCGTCAGTTCTTTGCAATGGGCGTCGGTGACGCTCACGGCGTGGGCTGGTTGTTGGGGGTACGGGGAAGCATCCGTGTAGCGAGTAAAAGAAGAATCCGGGGAGTGTTCGTATTGGGTTTTGAGGGCTCGTATCCGGGCTTCTCGCCGTGCCTTGTTGTAGATGGGATGCATGTTTCTTGGAATAGGTGCGACTTTGATGGAATGTCGGATGGTGAGAGGGATGCGTTTCTTCTGCTCGCATTCTGCAGGAGGCGTGTAACCGAGCCGGTAGAGCGTAGCTCTTCCTACCGATGTGAGTTTCAGTCGGGTGAATTGTGAGACTCGATGGGCTTCTTGTATTTCCTCCCATGTATTATGGACGCCGAGTTGTAGGAGTTTTCGTGTGGCCGTCTTTGGGGGTAGTCCCAGGGCGGCCTTGTAGGTTTGGCGAATGGCAACGTTCAGTTTCTCCTTCTCCGCGGATTTCAGGGCCAAGTACGGTGTCCCGTACGTGACTCGGCTGATAAGGATAGCTTGAATGATGCGTAAAGTGTCGGTTTCTTGTAGTCCAAAGTGGCGATGGGAGACTCTGCGGATGAGGTGCATGAGTTGAGTTAGTGTGCGCTGCTGGAAGAGGATGGTCTGGGCGCCTGAGCCATCTTTTGGTATGTTGAGGCCCAAGATGCGAAGGTGTGGGACGTTGGGGACGGGTTGGTTGTCAATGGTGAGCTCTGGATCTGGTATGGGGTCTTTGTTTTTCTTGTATGTTCTCTTGCACAGCGTTAGAAGGGCAGATTTTTCTGGGGCGCATTCAAGTCCCCTGGGTTGCAGGTATTGTTGGGTCACCTGGATGGCTGCTTGAAGTGCGTCTTGTTGGTCCCCCGTTGATCCGGTGGGGACCCAGAGTGTTAGATCGTCTGCGTAGATGGCGTGATGTAGGTTTGGGATGGCTTGTAATAGGGGTGGCAAGTCCTTCATGGCGATGTTAAACAGTAGGGGGGACACTACCGACCCTTGTGGCGTTCCTTTTGGTATGGTTGTGAACGTGTCGGATCGAAGGTGTCCGATACCCACTGTTGCCGTGCGGTTGGTGAGAAATGAGGCGAAGTATTTGTATGTGCGCTCGCCACAGTTAGTGGATGCGACGCCTTGAAGGATGGCCTGGTGTGAAATGTTGTCGAATGCCCCCTTAATGTCTAGGGTCAAGATCGACCGCTTGCTGTGGTTATTCAAGCTGTCCAGTACTTCCTCCTTGAGCTGAAGCAGTATGTCCTGAGTGGACAGATGCGGGCGAAAGCCGTACATTGTGTCGGGGAAGTAGTCTTTGTCCTCAATGTGAGGCGACAGCCGGTTGTGGACCATGTGTTCGAACAGCTTGCCAACGCAGGAAGTGAGGGAGATGGGCCTGAGATTCTTGGGGTTCAGGGGTTTGCCGGGTTTTGGAATAAGAGTGATGTCCGCGTGTTTCCACTGAGGAGGCAGGGAGCCCGCCAGCCAGCAGTCGTTGATATAGTCTAGCAGATTTTCCAGTGCTACGTGATCGAGGTTTCGGAGTAGCTTGTTGGGTATTTTGTCTCGACCCGGGGTGGTGTTGCGGGTGAGAGTGTATACCGCCGCCTCGATTTCAGCCAGTGAGAATGGCTCGTCCATTTCAGGGTTGGGGTCACCCGTGTAGTCTGGTGCCCGCTTGGGTTGGGCGTGTGACGGGGCCGCCAAAGGTTGTTTGAGCTCATCTAACAAATCGGCTTCAGTACCCGGGTGGTTGTGAATTAATCGGCGGAGTTGGTGGGTCGTGACCGCCTTGGACTCGCCGGTCCCCAACAGGGAGCGTAGCAGGTGCCAAGTTCGACGGGTCCCCAGCGTTCCTTGGATTTTGTTACAAAGTTGCATCCAGTTTAATTGGCTAAGTTGGAGGGCGTATGTTTCCGCTTCTGCCGTTAGTTTTGCAATGCGGGTCTTCAGTTTGCGGTTTGTCTTGTTTTTCCTCCATCGTCTGAGCAGCCCGTTGCGGGCGTCCCAGAGGTGGAGGAGATGGGCGTCGATGGCGGGATTGTCCTCCGTAAGGGAAAGTTCCTTGGCGTTTTCCCGTGCCTTCTCAAGGAGCTGGGTAGTCCAATCCTCGAGGCTTATGATGGGACCGGTGGGAGTTGCTTCTGGGAAATTTTTCCAATTGGTGATGCGTGCCGTGCCAATTTTTTGGCTCCTGGTCCTTTGGTGTGGGATTTGGAGCTGTATTATGTAATGGTCACTGCCCAGAGTTTTGTCCAGGCGCGACCATGTAGCCTGTTTGATGTTGTATGTAAACGTCAGGTCGGGGGTCGTATCCTGCGAGACGCTGTTGCCAATTCTAGTGGGAATGTGGAGGGAGTTATATAGGTAGAGTTGATTTTGTAGAGTAGCTTCATGTAAGCTTGTACCCTTTTTGTTGTTTCTGGGGTAACCCCAGGCCGTATGCTGGGCATTGAAATCCCCGAGGACCACGAGTTTGTGGCCTCTGGTACGTTGGCGGACGATTCTTAGAAGGCGGTCAATCGCCGAGAGAGTCTGTGTTGGAGGACTGTAGATGTTAAGGACGTACAGGCTGGTTTCTGTCTTTTTACGGGGTAGGAGCTCGACGAAAGTATAATCTATCGTTGTAGGTAGAGTGTGCGTTTGGGCGGTTTGGGTGGCTTGAACAAGGACGGCTGTTCGGGATGTTGGATCAGTGGCATATGTCGTGTAACCCCGAAGCGACACGTTGTCCGTATTCGTTTCTTGAAGGGCGATGAGGTCTGGCGAGTGTTGAAGGGCGAGGAGAGTGAGCGATGGTTTCTTGTTGCGAAACGAGCGACAGTTCCACTGCCATACGGTCAGCGGGGGTGGAGGTGCGGATGAGTTTTTGGGCGATGGGGGGTTAATCATCATCAATTTGGAGGGGAGGGGACGTGTCGCCGGAGGTGCTGGGTAAGGTGCACTGTTTGGGCCTTTTGCGCGCCTGTCGCTTTGCTTCTTCGATGGTGTGGATGCGCTGATCGAGGTCGATCAACCGGCTGTTGAGGCGTTCTCCCATCTCGTAGATGATGCGCTCAAGGTGGCTAATATGTGTCGGAACGGGCGTAGGGGCGCGAGAGGTAAGTGGTGTGGCCTCGGGGTCCCTATCAAGGGTCGGCCCTGGAGGGCGCTGAATTTGGGGGTGGGCTGGCAGCTCCATTTGCGTGAGGGGTGGTGTGGCATCGGGGTTCCTCTCCGGGGTCGGGTCTTTAGGACGTTGAACTTGGTGCTGGAGTAACAGCTCCACTTGCATGAGAAGTTGCTCGATACGTTGTTCGAGGGTAGTCGTACGTTTATTCGTAGCTTCTAGCTGCTGTTTGAGGAGCGTGTTTTCTTGTTGGAGGGTTTGGATACGGGGGTCGGGGGTTTGTACGGGACGGGTGGAGAGTAGGGGGACTTGGTCATGAGCGTTAGGCGGAGGAGCAACGATGGTTGACCAGCTCACCTGTTGTTGGTTCGGTTGGTTCGGTGGAAATTGTCGTTGCTCAGGAGGCTGGGAATTCGAGGAGGATTGTTGTTGCCACCGCTGTGAGGTGAGAGCTCGTTCCCGGTCTCGCAGTGGCGGAGGCGGTGATCGCAGTTTTTTTCGGCAATCCTTGCTAGCCGTGGGGTGGGCGAGGCCGCAGAGTTGGCACTTAGGGGTGCAGTCGTGGTCTTGTGTGGGGTCCCTTGTGTGGCACTGAGCGCACATTATCGTGTCGGGATTTGGACAGACGTCTTGCCTGTGTCCGAGTTCTCCACAGAGAGAGCAGCACTGCACTGTTTGTCGGTATGGTCGGCAGCGAGTGAAAAGTCCATACGCTTTGATGTAGAATGGTACATGGATTCCTTCAAATGTGACCACTGCCGATGTAGAGTTGCCCAGCATGCGGGCATGTAGTATACGTGCGCCGTTGTATGCCAGGATGTGAGGGAGTTGGTCAGTGGTGGTGTCCGGGTCCAGACCGTGGATCACCCCACGTCTTGTCCCTGGGAGCGGTTTGAGGTAAGGTAGAACTTCATGAGTTGCTGCCCCCAGTTGGATCGTGGAAATTTCGCTCAACGCGAGCGCACAGTTTTCTTCGGGCGTGCCCGCAACGATTAAATTTTGCGAGGCTTGAATTTGCACGGTGACTCGAGCGTAGAAAATGTATTCAGGTATTTTGCTTGCCCGTTGTAAGCTCTGTGCGAGTTGGCGGTCATTCCAGGCAGCTACTCGTAGTCCAGTTCGTGGCCGAAAGACAACCTTGTAGTCGGAGTCGGGTAGTCGGGGTGCTGGCGTGCCAGGTGGACGGTTAGTAGACTGACGTGGCTCTGAGGGCCGCGGCGGGTTTGCTGGTGGGTTCTTGAGATGGCGACGTTCGCGTAGAATTTGCTGCCAGGGGCCGGGTGGTGCTAAGGTCCGGCCGCTCAGGGCGTCGAACTCCATGGCGTTGTCAGCGGAGTTGGGCATGGTGGCGGCTTGGGCTTTGCGAGCCGGTGGAAGAGCCGGCGGAAAGTCGGTGGCTATGCCTATCGGGGCGAAGCCTAGCGATATGGTTGCCGACGTGGTCGAGCTGTGGGTGGCGATTTTGTCAAAACAGTCACTCTGACGTCCGCTTGGGTGGTATCAACGTACAGCTCGTGATGTTAGGAAGCCCTTGGTGACTGTCTGAGGAACGTAGATGGTCCTGGACATCTAAAAGCGGACTTAGAAGCAGAAGCCTATGCGAGGCGCGGCTGAGCCACGTCTCGCCTTCTTCTTCTTCCCTCTCTAGGAGAAAAAAAAGCGCGAAGGGACGCGATCCATATTGCTACACAAGGATCTTCTCGTAGTGCCGATCTGATCAATATGTGAGGACATACGCTATCTGCTACTTACCAACGGGATTTATATGTCCCGTTCTTATTATAAGCTTTTAGCAAACCGTTACCGCCTTCCGCTTGCCCCGCTACTGGAGCTTTAAGCATGCTTTTAGGCGCGCGCCCCGCAGACACGTTAACCGCGGGGTGTGCTATTAGAAACATGCTTCAAAGGCTCCAGTAGTGCGGTACGCGAAACACGCAAAAGTTCCTATTGACTAGTCTGAATAAAGAACATAAAATGAGCACCTTATTCTCGGGACCCTACTTAGCTTTTGTTGGATATTGTGTGGGAAGTGAAAAATATGTTTCCTAACAGTGTTACAAAAAAATATTTCGTAACTGTAGTCTAGAACTACACTACAAAAATATAAGTGGTGGGAATTTCTATAAAGCGAACTCAATTGCTGGATTCAATCACACAAAACGAAACTATAATGCACGCTAACCCTTTACTCCGGGCACCTTTGCACCTTCTTTTTAATTTCGTTGAAGCTTTAAAGTGTGACTCCGCTAAAAAGTGGAACAAAAAAAAATGGCCGATATCGCTTTGGGGGGGCAAGATACGATGGCAGCCGAAATGTGACACAAAAGTGAAGCCGTGCTCTACTCTAAAGGCGATTATAAACTGGTGCCATCAACTTCTTAGGGGCCTTCTGCAGGATGACGTCTTGGCGAAGCAGCACTGGACCATGGCATCACGCTTGTATTGACATTTCTTGTGTCATGTCTTTCCACTGCGTTTACAGTAGTCTTGAATGGTAGGCAGACGACCCGATTCGTCTGCTACTCCTTAGTTTGTTGTTTTAACAGTTGCCGTTGGTGAGTGATCCTAAGCGATCGTGGTGACTCGCTGCTCCCTCAGGAGGACTGGCGTCGTTCTTGAAATGTCCAGCACTTCTTGCGGTGGTGTGGTGCGGTCTTGTGGGTTGAGCAAACAAGCCGCTGCGAAACACGAACGTCCGCTTTCGCCAGTTCTTCATAGACTCGAGGTTGAGGAATGTATGGTTCAATGCCGTAGGTCAATTAGACTTCCGAGAGCCGTGGACTCGGTAATCCAGATCGAAGTTGTGCTCGGAACACTTGACACCCGACAGCTATGAGCGGGACCTACGGCTGCTCGATTCCCTGGGTTTACTTGTGAAGAATATGAACAGAAACCATTGAAGTCCATTATAAGGGATGTATCAAGTACATTTTTGTCGTGTTCTGTGCCACCCTGAACGCCCCAAATGTTCGCGCCATGATTAGCTTAAGTCCTGGTACGTACAGAGAGTTTTGATTGACATCACTCGAAAATGATTGCTCCTGACGGGATATACACAATAACGCTGCACAGCATGTGACGTGCGAAAGTGTCCGTATTAGGTTTTCTTACAAATAGGTCGAGGTAATCGAAGAATTAGCGATATATCGCGGACACTTAATTCGTATATAAGTTTAAAACACTCGGTTTAGTGTT